TATTCAAGTGCTCAATGTTTGCAAAAAAAAAACTCAAACCAAAAAAATCCAAATCAAGATAGGAGCTTACTATGCTATCCAATATTACACTATTTTATATTAATATTATGTGTATTGAACAAAATAAATTTCATAAAAATTATGTTCAACTCGTTCTAAGGTTCCCTAGCTCAAATGCCGGAAACAAAATCCATTTTAGTAATATATTGAATTCGCTCGAACAAGGGGTATGATGACCACCGGAAGCAAACCTGACCTCAACGTTACGCTAATAGCCACACTATTTTGAGCGAATTGGTTCGAACTCTGCCTAGCCTACTGATATTTCGCTGCTTACACAGACAAATACGTGCATTCACTTGTAATTATGATTTTTTTCCGCTTTAAAGCTTTTTTTTTGTTTACTAAATTTAGTCAAACATTTTTCAATATCTCCTCAAAAGAAAATTTATACGTACATTGCCAAAAGAAGTTTATATCTGCTTACATTTGTTTACTCCATCGAAGCGACGTTGGGCCCAGCGACGACGACGTAGCAGAAATGTGTGCGGTCGATCATGTTCTATTCTAGCAACTAGCGAGCATGTTCGCCAGGTCGGAGGGAAATTTATCTTCTGAGCAGAACTTATTGAAAAATGTTGTATGCTCCGGACTGTCAAACAGGAAAATTTTTGTTCGATGCGTTTGATTACTTACGACTAAAAACGCTTCTGATTTCGATCGCTAGTTTTATGTGCACATATATATGTATGTATGTACACGCGTTCACCTCTGATCCGGTGAGCATGCTAATGAATTTTTAAGTAAAGTAACTAGCTACCAGTTAAAATAATAAGAACAAAAAAAGTAATACCTGATGGTTGCATATGTACTATGGTTGTAAAGGAAAAATTAAGAACAAAGAGCATTGCAACTCCTTGGAAACTAAATCTTACGATAATTAACACATTCTTATAACAGTGATGTGTAGGTGCAATGTGGAAAACTCATCCTGAGATTTATTATCTACATACTGATATTCAACTCTACCATATTCCTAACATAACTCTCCGCGATCTTGCAATTTGATGCAAATACTTGAGCCGAATGAAATAAACTTTTAGATGGATTTTTAGGGATTGTATGATTAACCATGGAAATACTGAGCTTTACGGCGCGGTAGCATTGCATTTAGCGTCTACAAGATTACACTAACATGGTCATGAAATCTATGGAGCAAATCGGTGAGTTTTGCGGTG